GGGAGAAATATTATGAGGGAAGTAAGAAGGTGGATATTAAGGTGATTATGTCTTTAAGTATGCCATGAATATGGAGGGATATTGTGGGGATTGGAAAGGGGTCGGAAAGGCTTGATTTGATGTTAATGAGGGGTTTTAAGTGGGATGTTGGGGATGGAAGTTGTGTTGATTTTTGGAGTGATGTATGGATGCAGGATAAGTCTTTAAAAATTTTATTTCCTAGGTTGTTTGCATTAGCAATGGAGAAGGAAGGGTTGGTGAAAGATATGGGTGTTTTTGGAGGGGTGAGGAATGGGTGAGGAGATTTGGGTGGTGACGTGAGTGCTTGGGGAGGGCAATATGTGAGCAGGAACAGTTTAGGGAACTAACATATGGGGTGAAGTTGAGGGAGGATAGGGTGGATGTTTGGAGGTGGGTTCACTTTAGAGATGGTTTATATTCTGTCAAAGCAGCTTATGAGTTTCTAACACCTAAATATCACCTTCTTGATAAGAAACTGTGTAGAATAATTTGGAGTATGTCCCATTTAAGGTCATTATATTTGGCTGGTGGTTATTCTCAAATAGATTGGCCATGAAGGAGAATCTTTGTAAGAGAGGGTTATTGATACAGAGAGAGAGTTATTGATACAATGAGAGGATGTGAGTTGTGGGCTGTGCAATGAAGTGGTGAAGGAGTTTAGACATCTATTTTGTGAATGTAGGGTGGTATGGTTAGTATGGACCAAAGTGTTGTTGTGGTGGGGTTTGAAAGGGGTTTTGCCTACTGAAGTTTCAGGGATGGCAGAGTTTATGTTACATGGTCTAGGTGGGGGATGTATGCAGGAAATAGGAGTGGTAATGTTCTTGGTCATTGCTTGGTATATCTGGTGTTTGGGAATCGTTTGATTTGTGAGGATTTATTGCTGGATTCTATGCAGGCAAAGTCTATTTTATGGATAAAAAATAAAGAGCAGAGTTGTGTGTTTTTATATCAAGACTGGGTATCAAATTCAGTGAAATGCATAACAACCGTTACCCAATTTCGGAGATGCTTGAAAGGATACCGAATGCACAAGAAAGATATTAGTTGATTAATTTTAATTTTTTGGGCTGTTTTGTGTAGGTTTTTACCATATTATTTCGTGTGCTGTTATAAGTTGCAGTTTTGAGACTTTTTTGAAGATTGTATTTAA